AAATACACGCTTTCACAAAAAAATATAGTTTAAAAAAAAGCGTGGGGTGCTTTTTACTATGGACAACAGGCACCCAAAGTTTTTTTCAAATTTGTTTTCTATTTTTTAGTTTGGTTTTCTATAGAAACCGTGTTTTTTTGTTTTTTAAACTATATTTATTTTATTTTTATTTTTGTTTCACTATCGTTCTATTATTACTACCTTTAGGAATGTTGTTGTAATATAATAAATTGAGTATTTAATTAAGTTAAACTCGGCCTAGTTGAAGTGATAACTTCTTGTGGGAGGGTAAGCCGCTTCGTTACGTAACGTCTGTCTGGCTTCCCTTTCTCTTACGCATACGGCAGCGGTAGGCAGTCTCCTCCTCTCTCACTCTACTCTACTCTCCTCTCCTCACCCACAGCGCTAGGCGTATTTCGGACAGACGCTTTACATAAAATTGAAGTAATAACCTAAGCTTTTCTCAAGTTAAACAATTTCAATATTTAATAGTTTTGGTTAGTTTAAATTATCACTTCTGTCAGGCGGTCCGAGTGTTTTTTTTTTTTTTTTAAAGAGAGTTTATGACCAAAGAAGTATTACATTGATTTTAATATGATATTCGTACAATTAATAAACAAATATTCCTAGTGAAAGTAATTACATCTATATAATATGCAGATAATCATTTAACTCCCCACATTTATCATTTGTAACTCTTTCTTATTTTATTACATTTCTAATTTACCCGTTCAAAATAGATGGATTTCGTTTCCATTACTCATTGCGCTTTAAGAACAATAAAAATATATTCTAAAAGTCAGTAATCTATTTTGAACGCTCCTTGTATTCATTAATTAACTAGTTGTTACTAAGCAGAAATGCAAGCAACACAAAAACCACAGTAAACTCTTAAAATATTTGCATTATTGTATTTTTGTTACACGGATTGTGAGCAGATTTCAATGATTACTTTACATTAGGTAGGTCAGATTACAGACTTTGTGAGTTATAATGCTAATGAAAGTTGGACACACGGTAAGAGTCACGATTGAGACAGAGTAGAGACAGTCGTCACCATTTTCCCGCCGTTATTGAAATTGTATTTAAAGTCTGCGCAATGTCTAGCATTGTAAAAGTATTTTTCTGGTTTCTTTTATAACCGGCGATACGCCAACGCTCTTTGGGAATACAATCGTTTAAAACGGAATAAATGAAGAGGAAATTAGAGTAAAGAAAAGAAAACTAAACAGCTGGGATGTAATATCGGATAGAATTGACGGTACAGCGACTGTAGTACTTCAAAGAAGCCAAAATTGAATAGCCATATATCCGTCCTGTAATTGGACACACCAGTAATATAAGATCATACAATTTTTAGATTACTTACAAAATCAAAGAGTTTTCTAAACCGAATAAGATCGAAGGTCACCAAACTGCGCATACGCTATCATTTTTTACAACTCGACAATTATCATGAGTCAGACGCTACGTAAAGATGTTATGTAATAATGAGTTAGCTGAATGTGTGATATGTTACTACGTCCATTATTGAAACAGCAATAATTTAACGTTACTCAATAATAAGATTACATAAATTGTCTTTAAATAAAGAGTTACGAGCATTCGGAAGCCACGTCCATACTTGCTGTCGGTTCGATTACCATAAATATCTATAAGTTTGAATTTATTTTTGTAGGTATCTGTGTGTTCTATGTGAAAGATATGTAGGTATATATTTGTACTTATAACGTACATGTACTACCTGTCATGTTGATTTTTTCATTGATGAGAAATGTGAAACAAAGCTGACATGAAATATACATAAAAATCATCTTTGAAGTGGGTTGTATACCGTTTCAAGACTTGAGATCAATCGCTGAAGAGTCATTTGAGTTTTTGAAGCGTACACAAACCAACTTAGAAATTGTATATATATATATATACATATATATATACATATATATATACGTGTGTGCTTAACAAATGCCCGAAAAGTATCCGACCCGATGGGTGACCTTCATGAATGGCTGAAGTGACCTTTACCCTTTGATACAACCCCCACACACGTTAGAAAAACCGTTTTCTTCTATATATATATATATATATATATATATATATATATATATATATATATATATATATATATATATATATATATATATATATGAATATAACACGTGTACTTTTTTATTCAAAATACGTAGACAACAAGTAGGTATATCTAAGTAACAAGTACATTAAAAGTAAGAGATATGCTTCGTTTGTGTTATTAATTATATACTTTTATAAGTATGTTTACGGTAATTAACGCGCTCATGATAGGTACCTATTAAGTCCATGCCTTTGAATCGCCTGACGTTTCGATCAGGTTACACTGGCCTGGTCACAGGCTGCTTCTGGGGCAACCTGGTCGAAACCTGGTCAGCCATCGTGAGCGCATTAATTCCCATTAACATAATATATATTATGGTTTTTAACGTTAGTAAGATACACTTAGTATCTTTAGTTCTTTAGTAATAATACGAATAAATATATTTAAAAACAATCGAAGCCAATACCAATTTATAATTGAATTTAAGTATACACAATAAATACGATTCTAGTTGTTTAATTTTGTATCTACAACAAAAACCAATCATGGATACATTCAGAGGCTTATCAATATACAATGGATACAATAATAGGCTTATTGATAACGATGATATGTGTTTTTTTTTTAAGATTACTTAATTAGCATCTATTAAAAGTGTCATTTTAACAAGATTTATTTAAATCATCGTTACAAAGCAGAATTTTATCTAATATATAAGTAAATATGTTGTTTTGCGGTGTTTGTGACCGCACCCCTCCGAAATGACTCGTTGGATTTTAATTTGTATATTTGATAGGTATTAGATAGGTCGTAAAGTATTTACCACCCTCCTACCTGGGGATAAGACCCTCCCATATTCATTCCATGTTTATTAATTTTAAATTATCCTAAATAATGTATATAATATATTTTATAATTGAGAGAAGAGTTCGTTTTATACGCTTTAATGTAAAAATAGACAGAACCTCTCAAATGTAACTAATTAATAATTTAAATCAGTTTGAACACTTACCAAATAAAAAGCAAAATTCATTTGCAAGATTCAATACGCAACCGAACAAAAATGTATTTTAAATCATATGTATTTATAATTTTTTACTAGATTTTGCCCCGTTCAGTACAATAATTAGATTATTCATTTACAATATCTATGTATTTACATAAATGTTTTTGCCGCAATATGAACACAAATAATTTAGAAGGGTTTAATTAAAAACAGGGTAACAGCATACTTTCTTTACCGAAGGCAGTAAAACTGATACTCACACGTTGGTTTTTGTAACTTTTTTATTAACTTAAAACCCAAGTTAAGTTGTATTGTAACTGACTATTATTACTTTTGAATATATCGTTTTATTTAATCGACCAGTATGACTTGAGCTATCATTAACTTTTACACCACGATGTCTAATTATATACTAGGTCACATACATTACATTTTATACTAACATTAGTGTGTGAGCAAATGATTACTAAAATAAAATAAATTTAAATACATTCTGTATACATAATTAAATTACTTAATATATAAAAATACACGGCAATATAAACGGCAAAAGTTATAGTGTGGTTGTGTGTCAAATTTGTGCACGTGTATTTTGTATCAACGTTACTTTACCTTGTGTGTGTCATAATAACTGACCTACTCAATGCAATATCTGAAATCTGCACTATTTATTTATCACAATAGGTATAACTTTGAATTATAGGCACGATCGAGCGGCTGCAATTAATTCAAAACAATGAAACGTTTCACAAAAAAAGATTTATATCTAAAAAACGAGTCCGATATTAAGAAGGATCCTTTTTATAGGATTCCTTTTTTCAATAATTTATCTATACATGAACAATATAAATAATATGTTGTATTATGACTAGTCGCTGAATAAATAAAAAAAAAAGAATGTTTATGTTAGGTAGATTAATTCACATAAATTAATAATAGAAAACAGTATACTTATTATTTGTTACTGTGCAATTTTGTGAGTGTTGTGAAGGAATGAAACTAACAAAAATTATCTGTATTTATAATGTGTCTAGGTTTTTTTTACAATTTTCAGATTGGATATCATCTATGTAAAAAATTAAATAATCTTCGCAATGTGAAATCAGATAATTATATACAGTTAATGTCATTATAATTTGTTGACATTTTGGAATAAATAGTTTCTACACAACACGGTCTATTTAATATTTTATTTGATAATGTTTTTGATTACTAAGGTCAAGTATTAAGAGGTCATTTTTATTGACAAGGAACTAGCCACTATCACAAGTAATATAATACAATACTTTGTCAAATATAGTGTCAAACCTAAAGGCAAATAACTGAAGATTAAGTTTTTGATTAATAGTATTTTTCATTTCGTCACAAATTATGTCAAATAAAAATGGGAATGTTTATTTACATAACTTGAACATTTCGTCACACCATTCACGGATTCGTTTGTAGGTGTACCTACACCTACAGATTTACCCAAGTTGAATTGTAAATTAATCCATTTAGAGAAAAAATTGACTATTCTAACGTATAATTTTCATATACCTTAGTTTTACGAATTTACATAAATAAAACCTATACTTTTACAATATTCTGATGATTTTAGAACACATCCGTAAATACACAATAAATTAGAATATATTTAACAGGTAGGTATGCTTTTATATGCTGGTAATTTAAGTCTTTTTTGTGCAAATAAATATTCATTTATAATCAAATCTACAATATCCATTTATAAATATACCCTTAACTCCTTCAATGTTAAATGAAAGCTAATTATTACACAAACTATATTCAACACAACAACCAATTATTTAAAAGCGTTCAAACATACCACATCAAATTCCTCCTTTTTGTACTTCGTTCAAACAGTTAATCCTCTGACGAGCATTTCACAAATGTGAGCCAACCGATTCAACGGCAAGATTATTCTTTCTTCTTAGCGTCCTTCTTCGCTGGCAAGAAGATTGCCACTGTCTTCTGTAATATTTCCGTAAATATCAATGTTCCTATGAATACTAGAAGCGTGCCAAACCAATGTCCCAGCGTGAACGGGTTCCTGAAGTACATTATGGAGAATAGAAGTGACACGAACTTCCTCAAAGTGACTGTCAGAGTTACTGTCAATGAAGCACATTCTGTGGTCAAGACGTAAACAGAACTAATACATATTCCTTGAGTCATAACGTACAGTATCAGCCACAGCACTTGTCTTGGTAGTGTGAAACCCAGGAAATCGATTAGAGGTGTTTCTGTAGCGAGCTTAACGTGTCCGATTATATTCGATGTTGTTGGTAACCAGAATATTAGAGGCAGAAGATGTGTGTAATATAAGGCTTCCCAAGGGTGTTTTCCATGTTTGGAATATAGGGATTCTTGGAAGATACCCATTCGTGCAGAAACAAAGAGTGCGAATGTTAAAATAGCTATGCCAAGACACCACCACAGCCAGTCAATGAATTTTAATCTCTCCTCTTCAGCAGCATCTTCGTGGGTCTCTCTAGGAGCCTTAACATCTCCACTTGATACAATTGTACATATAGCGATACCAGCTGAAATCATGAATACTGCTAGATACTTCAATGGCGGGTATCGCTTTTTCAATATCCACACTCCCATTGCCATATTTGCCATTAAAGAACCGGCTCTAAATATCATATGTAAGGGCATGGAAATATTGAAATCGAAAGCATAATTGTTTGCCACACTACTGGTCCAGAAAAATCCTACTAACAAAAGGTATTGTTTAAATGGAATGTTTCTCTTTGCCGTTCCAAATTTCCCAACTGTACAAAATCCAACCACAGCTATGAGTAAGAACTGCAGGAACGTCGCTAGATTACCAGCGCCAGGGTCTTCTTTCACAACCATTTCTAAAAATACTACATTGGAACAACATCCAACAAAGACCATTGTAATGGCCATCGCTGCCTTTACGTTCATTTTGAATCTGAAAAAGAAAACAAAATTTTAAAAAAATGTACAAAAAAGTTTTCCGATACCGGGAATCGAACCCGAGCCTCCTGGGTGAGAGCCAGGTATCCTAGCCACTAGACCATATCGGATACTACGAATTAGTTCTAAAGTAAGCTTCTGTAGCCGTAACACTTTTACCAAAAAATATACATTTACAACAAGCATGTGCAACAGATAAGAAAGATAATAAGGCTACACTTTAATAATAGATATGAAAGACAAATAATTTTTTAATGTACGCATGCGCACTGCGGTCCGCAGCTAAGGTTATAATACAACCTTTAAACTTTATTGTTTTATGTTACTAAAACATCAACCAGTAACCGAAATAAATAATAATATTGATTGATACTTACATTTGACACTTCTTACTATCATCAACACAAAATTATCACATAAAGTATACACTAAACCAATGTTATTCGTCAGACACGTTTGACAAGGGAGACAGCTGTCTCAGCAATGTGTGTGTAATCTCCAATGATTGTAGTTGTGACCGTGGCCTCGAATACGTGTGCGCATGCGCGGGAAGGCGCAGTTGGTAAAACAGTAGACGACCATGACAGTACAATGACAAACGTTAGATGGCGCTATTTATAATTTTTAAAAGTGGAAGGATTGTACAAATTGTATTGTATGAGATAAGGTTTAAGTTTAAAGATTGTATTAAATTCTATTACATGAGATACGGTCGTTATTTCTTCGTAATAAACTGCGTTATGTATTTCGTTATTTTTTAAAAATAGAATTCTTAAAAGATTTAGTTACAAAATGTGATTTTATCTAAAAGCATTTTTTTAATCTGATAATTGAAGTCCTATCAAAACTAATTTTAAAAATCTTATCTTAAAAAATGTTATGTAGGTATCTTATCTTAGATTATTTTAATCTATTATGCAAAAGTATTATCATTCCTACCTGTAATAGTATTTTCTTCCAAATTGTTACAAAGTCAAAAGGATCAGTAAAATTTAAAAAAGAAAACAAAGCATCCAACCGGCTTTCATACGAAAGTAAACAAATATATCTTTAACTCAAGTGATTCAACAAGAACCGAAATAATTACAAGAGCGGAAATTGTTTAGAAATGAGTAGGTATTGACTAAATTAAAAAAAAAGTGTAACTACTAATCCATATAATACATATAAGTATGTATAAAACATCGAATTAAACAATATAATAGATCAATGGTGTAAATTGTAAAGTTGGTGTGTGTACACTTCAAAAACTCAAAAAGTTTTGCACTACAAGTCGCTTAATTATTTTTTATCTGTGTTTCTCATAAATGCAACCACAATATGCCAAAGCTACTACCGCTAGGATAAAATATAATACTAAAGGGTATGTAGGTACGTAAATCTAATATATAGGGAAAGATTTTTTTTTCCCGTGCGGAAATCCCCTCGGATACCACCTATCGGTGGCATGTCGGACTCGAACCGACTAAAACCGCACGCCGTCTCGGGTACTAATAGCCGGGGAACCAGGTATACCCTAGAAAGGAAGTCCCTGGTGCCCCGACATACCTCGGGCCATCTACAGACATCATTTTGCCCCCTGATACGTAAGTATTCTTTCTTTATTCACATCAGATTCGATAGCAGCTTAATTAAAAAATTGATTGCAGTAACATATGCGAGTATGTTTGCATTAGTGTGGTTATTCCTATGCATGATATGTAAGTATATGTTTATAAAAATATACATGTACCAGCTGACCCGGCAAACTTTGTTTTGCCATGTACCTACATTATTTTAAATTTTTTTTTGTAAAAAATAATAATAATTAGGGGTTTAAAAAATAGATGTTGGCCGATTCTCAGACCTACCCGATATGCACGCTAAGATTCACGAAAATCGGTCGAGCTGTTTCTGAGGGGTTCAACTTCTATCACACGAGACATGAGAATTTTATATATTAGATTTGATTTTTGTTTATTCATGTTCTTTAAAAGTACGTCAGCTAAGTTTAAATTTAGATAGCATAATGGAAAAGGTTCTATAATATTATTGCTCCGCCTCGTTTTAAAATGAACCTCTAAATTCGAACTCTAGACTTTTTAAATTATTCGTTTTGAAGCAAGTCTTTGTATCGAAAGAATGAATAAATAGACACCGTTTGGGTGATCTTCTTCGAAGGAAATAGCGCCTGACAGGTTTAAAAAACAGTCTCCATTCGTCTGTCTATTGTAAACAAGCCAACTTCTACTCCTAGATAAATCATTGGTGATTCTTTTAGAGAATTATTTTTGGAATTCTTAGCTATGCATGTTATTGCTGCGGTCGGGGATAGGATGATGATGATGATGCTATTGATGGGGGGAAGTGTTTTCCTCTTTGATAGGGTCTGATTAGGCATGGTGTCGATTCAGGAAGGACCTGAAATAACATGGTCCGGGTCTTCCCAGTGTAGGGCGCCTAAGGCCGGCCGTCGAGGTCGTTTTTAGTGGAATCACCACATATTACTGGCTCCTAAGTCCCCAAGTAGCAGTAGATCCGAAGGAAGTTTTCAATTCTTTATGGTGTTAAAAGCAAACGGGCAGAGGAGCTACCTAATTGTAAATGACTACCGCAGCCCATGGACTGCCTGCACTCAAGAGACACAGGTGCTTTGCCAAGGGGAGAGTGCCCAGCTGTAACACCTATTACGTGTATGAACACATAGCTTTATACCTACCTATCATGAAACACGCACATGTATTGATTTAATTAAATATTTTTCTGTCACTCGCGTCGCTCTTCACGTAATAATTAATAGAGATATTGCAGCAAAGCGAGAAGTAACATGTTTTATATCAAAAACTAGCTGGTACCCGCGACTTCGTTTTGAAAAGCGCAGCCTTAGTGGGTTCGATACAGGGACCAGGCAAAATTTTTAAGGGTTTTTCTGAGAGGAAAAATAGCCTAAGTTATTCCTTATAAAGACAGCTAATTGGTAGCAAAATATTATCTAAATCGGTCCAGCCGTTTAGAAGATTACCCAAACAAACAAACAGACGCACAGACAGACAAAAGAAAATTAAACTGGTTTTTAGGCGTAGGTATCGTGCAAATAACCGTGTAAGAATGAAAAAAACGTATAATTTTTACATTACAAACAGATACTTCAATTTTATTTATTTGTATAGATTACAAACCTAAATCTAATTTACTCGAGTTAAAATTTTAAACAACCTTACAAAAATTCTTGATGACCATAAACAACCGCTTTTGTTTCGTATTTATTAAGGAAATAAGACATCGATCTTAACAAAGCCACTGATATGTCAAATAGAAACACTATTCTATTTATAAAAATAAAGGAAGTACACCACGTCAATTGGCACCGGAGCCTCGCGTATCTTCTAGATGACACGCGAAATAATCTATTTTGCAAAGTGGTTAGAGTCTACATTTGCATGAAACAGCCTTAGTTGCATAACCGTACAGTAATTCAATTATTACGGCTCGACGCCCCCAACTAACGACCTTTTGAATCTAAAGTGGTAACATCCAATGATACGTGAAATTTTGTTTTATAATCGTGGTATTAGAGTTCAATTTGTGAAGAACAAATTTTGCTCTACATTTTATGTGGATGAAATAATAATGGTTTTTTATTGTTTAGGTTTTGTTTGTTTTTTTTTTATTTACGATACGACGTTGTCACGATTTCGATTGCTATTCTATTCAAAAAATATGTGTGTTTGAATATTCCCTCTTTTTGCTTTGGTTAAATTGTTTTATACATCACATCACATCGTCATCATCAACAGCCTTTAATAGTCCACTGCTGGACATAGGCCTCTCCTTAGAAAAGAGGCTCTGGCCTACTATAGCACGCTGGCCAGACGGGTTGATATAGGGTTTGTTTCAAGTTTTGCTTCTCTTTTACACATACTTTTTTTTTGTTTTTACAGATAATAATGATAAAGTACAAAATGGTGGGATACAAAATTCTCCTAGAGATGAATGGTTAACTCTAAGAAGATTTTGTGTCCCATCAGCTTTAAAATGGCGCTCACTTTTAAACGATCGGTTACCTGCCCTGTTAAAATTTTACCTCAACGCCTTTCAATTAACTCTCCCCGATCAAAGCAACGTAGTAGGGTGGGGGAAAGCTACAGAAAAGGCTTGTAAGATGTGCAGTGCGGAAATAGGTACAGCCAGGCACTTACTGACAGGTGGAAGGGTCTATTAGACCGGGCTCATTATTTACATCGCCATGATAGGGTATTAAAAATCATACGCGAAGCAATAAGTTCATCACTGGCGAGAGCGAAAAAAGGAATTACAACAAACATAAGTACTAACATCGCGTTTGTAAAGGAACGCTCAACAAAAAAGACTTACGTACTCAATTATTAATAGCGCCAGTGACTGGACATTATTTTTATTATATCTAGAGAATCCAGTTGCCCCCATGTCATTAACTAAAAATGCTCAGGAAGAGATTACAAAATAAACATAGAAACAAAATATAGACTTTAAATAAAATCTGATAAACACTATTAAATTCTCGAACACTTTCATTTTTCTGACAATGATATCTGCGTCAGATTATCATCTATTAATATCTGATGTTATTCATCACATCAACAGCCTTTAATAGTCCACCGCTGGACACAGGCCTCTCCTTAGAAAGGAAGCTTTGGCCTACTATACCACGCTGGCCAGACGGGTTGGTACAGGGTTTGTGTCAAGTTTGCCTTCTTTTTGCAGTGCTGGTGTATTGCGTTGTTTTGCGCATTAGTCGGTTCTTACGACACCCACGAATTGGGGTAGTGATATTCCGTATTCTTAATCCGTCACTATACGGACAGTGATCTGCTGTTATTATTTAAGGTTTAGTAATAAACAATCATTTAAAATATATTCGAATATGTTTATATTAACATTTATAAAAATTCAGAATCAAGTGTTAAATACTATATGATTTGATTTTATAGTAAGTTTTAGGGCTTCAATACGGTTGTATTGAAGCCCAAAAACTCTAAACAATTCTAGCTACATGTGAGAGATCTGCCTCAGGTCAGCTTACCACAGGCGATACTAAAACTTACTTCTATCGTTAAACCATGTACAGTTCCTGAGCCGTGCCACAAATACCCGTACCCATTCATATTACCAAGAAAGTACGTGCACTTATTGAGAGGCAAGTTGAAACTACATTGGTAACAGACGCACTCTGCACTACGGCTGTAAAGCTACAAGTATATGGCTCCGTCGACGAGTCGGACTGAAGCGAGCGAGCGGTGCGAGCTTCGTAACATCTCTTTTCATACTTCAGTTCACACCCGATCTACACAGCTAAGCTACAAACGATGCGAACGATAACCGACAATGAGCCGATGACAAATCCCCCTATCTGATTCTTTGGGGGGGGGGGGATTCAAACTATTCACTAGTCACTCTTTATCGTTTTCGTTCGTCGTAAGAAAAAAAATCCATAATTTATATCCTTCTTTTCTTAATAAAAATTACAAATGTTTACTCCACCGAGTGAAATAAATTGAAGTTCACATAATCACGTCAATTTTTAAAAACGTCTAATTTTACCCACCATTGCGTTCCGAATTATTAGAAATAAAAAAAAACGTTAGCAGTTTCCACTAAATAAAGCTGGAGCGACGTGCAATGAACACGTCCCATTTCTTTTGCGAATAAAGCGCTGAAGGAAAAATATTTGGTCACTTACAAGAACATGAGCACAATATATATAAATGTTTCCTTTATTGACAAGATAAATTGTTTTTATTTTGTGTGAGTAAGGTGTAGTTTTCTTTACAAGTTCTATATGTTTTACACTTCGAAGACTAGAAGTCTGGACTCGCGTAGGTGCGTTGTGACTATTAGAGAATTATTATTGATGACCTCCAATAATGTTCTGGTAACAACAAACACAAAATTATTGCTTTAAACTATTATATTCACTGAATAACAGTAACTGTGATGTTTTTCGTACCTCAATCAGCGTTTAAATGTACGTTATTTAAATTATAATTGACACCAAGCCCATTTTATCATCCCATTTTGACCGCCATTTTTAGTCGCATTAATGACGTCGCACAACCAGCACTTTATATTTTTTCATGAAATAGTGAACTGTTGTATGACCTTTTTATAGTTTGACCCTGTCCTTAATATATAAAAATATTCAATTTCTTTGTGTACGCTTCAAAAACTTAAAAAGTTCTACACCGATTGAGCTCAAACTGTTTACACGGAGTACAAACCGTTTCAAAGGTTGTATTTATATATTTGTCGTCAGTTTAATTACTCATTTCACATCAATACAACCATAATGTACCACATCCGGCTCCTTCTAGCTGTAAAGTCCGACTTGATAAAAATATCTGAAACGACTTTTTACAGACTTTACTTACAGAAAAAAAAATATCATTTATCATTTATTATCATCGAAACTTGGCAGAGTAAAGTTTTCTTAGCATTTTTATAAAAAAATAGTGTTTATGATGTTGGTGATTTAAAAATAATACTTTAAAAAGCTCTCCCACGGCAAGGTGTTTTAGTAAAACTAGTGTGAAGTTTATTGTTATATTATTTTCAT